TGGGCTGTGCTGGAAAGAAAGAAAAGTGGGGTTTAAAGTGGCAGACGAGGGAGGCATTCTGGAAAGTTCCTGATGTTGGAGCTGCCACAATATATCAGGCTTGAACTGTATATACACATATACATACATACACAGACACACAGACACAATACATACATACACACATTCATGCACACACACAGACACACATACATATACATACACACATGCATGCACAGACATATACATACATACACACAGACAGAGACACACAGACACACATACATACATACACAGACACACATACACCAAGTGTGCAGTGCATAGGGCAGCAGAGGCCTCTTCCAAGGGCTTATAGGTTCCAGCCCAGGAGCCTAGGTTGGGGGGACACCCCGAGTGGCCCAGCCCCAGAGATGGGAGAGGGGCAAGGTAGCCTGCTTAGCAGAAATTCTCCACCTCTTCTCATGGGCCTGAGTGGGACAGCCACAACTCAAGAGGCCCTTTGAAGGCAACCTGCCCACAGGGTGGGGGTGAGGGCCTTCCCAGCCCTCTGATTCCCATCTCAATTACTTCTCCCAGTGGTTGGCTGCCTCTTGGGTAAATTGTTCATCAGGAGATGCTCTCCAGAGCACAGGCCACATGCTGCTGCCACTGATTTCATTTTGATTATTCATATTAGTGGCAGCGCGGCTGCCTGGCCGGGTGTCGTAATTAGGGTAAACATCCTGTGCAGGCCAGGTCAGGGCTGGGGTGGGCCGGGGGCAGCCACCCCAGCCCCAGCTCTGCAGACCAAGTGTCTGGCAGCCCTGCCCACCAGGCCTCAAACGTACCTGTCCCGGGGCTGTGGGGCTGTGGGGGTGGGGGCAGCAGGGGGCATTCCCCTTACCATCGGCCATCGTGGCCATCCTCGGTGTCCCTGTCCTGCGGAGGTTCATCCTGCCTGCACCTGGCTCTTCCCCCTCCCTGGTACCCTCCACTCCTCTGGACTTCCTGGGCACGCAGGTTTCTCTCCACCAGCTGAGCAGCCCAGGGACCACCCTATATGGGGAGCGGAAGGGAGAGCCCTCTCTCTGTCTGGGATCCAACACAGGCTGGGCTGGAAGACTCATGGCGGCCAACATGGACCAAGAATGAGGAGCTGGGTTCCTACACCAAAGCTCTGTGGGCAGAGGGAGCAGATGTCACGCACAGCCACCCCCTTAACTCTTCACCATAGAGTCAACTCTAGACGCACGGCGACCCCACGTGTTACAGAGTAGAACTTCTCCATGGGGTTTTCTTGGCTGTGATCTTTACGGAAGCAGTTTGCCAGCCTCTGGGTGGGTTCCAACCACCAACTTTTAGGTTAGTAGTCAAGAGCAAAGCGTGTGCACCTGTGTGCACCACCCAGGGACTGTCACAGCCACCCAGGAGGTAATTTTCCCAGGAATCCCCTTTTAGCTTTCAGTGCCCCCCACCCCATCCAGGCCACAAGCTTACATTTAATCAAAAATACTTTTAAAGCAGTTTCCCTTCCACTGCCTTTACAAAGGGGGAGGGGGTACACGCGTGCCTGTGTGTGTGCGTGCGTGCGTGCGTGCATGCATATTAACCTTCTTTCATAAAGCACTTTTCCCTATAGAAATCTCCTTTCTCGCTGATTCATTATGTGTCGGCAAGCAGAGCGTGACATGTTAAAAGCCGTCTTGATAGTATTTGATATTCAGGACTAACAGCTCACCGTCTCAGAGGAGGGGGCTTTCTCCCCCCGCCCACCAAAGCGGGGAGGGAGACAATCTGCATATTGGATATGCCAAGACAGTGGGTAATTTGCATTAAGCATCACGAAGTTCTCTGCTTGCAATCTGTCACCCTTCACTGGGTTTTCATTTCATAAACTTCACAACATACAGAGGAGAACAACACGCAGAAGATCCAGTTGCTGTGCCCTCACTGGGACCGGAGAAGAGCCTGGCCACCTGAGCTGTCAGGCAGGGAGGGGCCCTGGTCAGAAATGCTGGCTGGGGGTTCTTCAGGAGACTTGAAGAGAGGTGTCTGCCAGCCAACGGATTATTGAGCCCGCCAGTCCCTGGGTGTCTGAAACAGTTAAGCATTCGGCTACTAGCCGAAAGATTGGCGCTTCAAACCAACCCAGAGGTGCCTTGGAAGACAGGCCTGGCAGTCTGCTTCTGAAAGATCACAGTCTTGAAAACCGTATGGAGCACAGTTGTACTCTGCACACATGGGGTCACCATAAGTCGGAATCGATTCGACCGCAACAAACAACAACAACCACCGCCCCACCCCAAGACCCCAGCCCCTCAGGTGGGGTGCGCCATGAGACCAGAAGCTGGAGGGGAGGCTGCTCTGAGGACAGCTCCCCTGTCAGGATGGCCAAGGTCAAAACTCAGTAAGGGTTTTGGGGAGAGCAAAAGCAGATCTGTCTGGCCTGGCTCTGCAGTGGGCATCCACTCCAAGTTCCCCATATTGGACTCCGAAGCTGATTCCGCTCTTGGACTTTCGGCACCTGCTGAATCTGGGCTCAAGAGAGGGCTGTGTGTCTCCATCCCGACCCATGTGAGAAACCCCTGGGGAGCTTTAAAAACACACCTTGGCACCACCCAGCCCTACTGACTCGGCTCTGCCAGGGGTTTGGGCACAGCCAGGGTAGGGGCCGCTGGGATAGACCATCTGCATTTGCAGCGGGGCAGCGTGACATGGAGTGTTACTTCCCTCCAGAGCCTCAGTTTTCTCATCTGCAAAGTGAGCAGTCTGGGGGAGGGTGTCAGCCAAGGAGGGCCTCGGGGCACTGGGACAGGCAGGTGGAGCCCCTGGCGCCTCCCACCTCCATGTGGCCCCTTCTGCTATTTTCTGTGTTGGATTTCTGGAGTCCCTGGGTGATGCAAACAGTTAACACGCTAGGACACTAACCAAAAGGCTGGAGATGTGAGTCCACCCAGAGGCGTCTTGGAAGAAATCAGCCATTGAAAACCCTATGGAGCACAGTTCTACTCTGACACACATGGGGTTGCCATGAGTTGGGGTCAACTCGACAGCAACCGGTATATTGGATTTCTAGGTAGAAGTTTATTAGAAGAAAGGGCTCCATAGCTATTGTGAGGTTTGAAGACCCCTGGCCCGGGCCTTCCCTTCAAGTTGCCGTGCTCGGGGACAAGGTGCTCACAGAGAAGAGTCAACCCAGGTGGGGCCTGGGTCAGCAAGATGCAGCCTCCTGGAGCTGACGGAGAATTCTGGAGGGAGCCCAGAGTACAGGCACTGCCCACCTGCGGAAAGGAGGCTGTAAACCTGACCACCTCCTACAGGTACGGCAGCTCAGCAAGCTCCGGGCAGATGCCACTCAGGCCCACCCACCCCCAGGCTCGCTGGGCAGGTGGCAGGGTCTGTGGATCTCCAGAGCAGCCTTAGCAGATGGGGCAGAGGGCGAGGACAGTGAAATAACACCTGGGCAGGTGTGCGCACACAGAGGACAGCAGCACTCCTATTGAAAAACCAGTGACATTCTAAATAAAGGTGCTAACGAGGAACAGAGGCGTGAGATGAGTAACCACTCGGAAGTCTGCCCACAGCGTTCCTGGCTGAGCCGCCCTGGATTTTATAGCAAGAAGCTTTCCCAAACCCAGTCCCCACAGCCTCAGCAGAGCCCGAGGCGAGGCCAGCACTGCATGCTGCTTATCATCATCACATCATCACTACTAATGGCTATGACAACGCCACCCTTTGCTGAGTGCACATGAAGGAATGCAGATCATACCACACTGGGAGGCAGGATATTACCGCCATTTCACAGATGAGAAAACGGAGGTTCTGAGAAGTGAGCTGCCCAATTCACACAGCAAGTAAAGATCAGACTGGACTCAAGCCCAGGTGTGACTCCGACCTGGCTTCTGTCCACTGTGCTTGACAGCTTCTCTGTCCAGTCCATCTCCTTGGAGCCCTTCACAGAGCAGAGGCCTTGAGTTGTAACAGGGCTTCCCTGGATCCATGTGAGAGAAGGGCATTATTCCAGAGTTGGTAAAGTCACTGGCCTCTCCCCCCAGTGACCCTGCAACCCTGCTTCTGGCTTCTGCCCTCCCCTGTACACAGCAGCCTGGGGGCACTCCTGGAACCTAGCCACCAGCTCCAGCCCCACAGCCGCAGAGTCACCACCTCTGGGGCCTGGCCCCGCCAGAGCTGCAAGGGAGAGCTGGGCCATGCCCTGGGCTGGGGTGTGTGCCATCCAAGTTCAGCCTCCTCTGGGCCGTGCCTGCTGCAGCTGGAAAAGGACAAGGGGACAGAGTGGGTGTGAAACCAAGCCACATTCTGCTGGGCACAACCATTTATTTTAGACTTTCAGCCCCTTCCTGCCAGGCAGGTGGGGAGCCCACCCTCAATCATCCTTGGACCCCACCCCAATTCTAGGGACTGCAGGTGTCCCCAGCTCTAGGGTTGCGCTGAAACCCCACGGTGGCTGTTCAGGCAGGGGTCATCTGTCTCCACTAGTCATTGGGGCCTGCCTGTCTGTTCAGTCCTGTCCTTCTCCCCCGCCTATACTGTGACCCCCTTGGGGCAGAGAAGTCTTTGGTGAGGCAAGAACCTGAAGCATCCCATTAGGGTGATCTCCTCCCTACACACTCCTGGGAGCAGAACCCACAGACCTGCAGCTTCTCCCTGCATGCAGTTTGGGGGGCCCCTGAGATCCCCACCGAGTCAACTTCCAACTCCTCGCTCCCTTTCTTCTCTGCCCCAGGACCCATGGAGAGCCACCCCTGTGCACTTGGACTTTGAGAAAACAAAAACAAAACTCTAGGCAGGCCCATTCCACCCCCGGGCTTGCACCCACCCGTAGGGAAGGGAAGAGAGGAAGGCCAGGAAGGGGACAGAGCTCCTCGGGGGGTGTGGAGTCCAGCGACTCCAGGGTAGCCCTGTCCCTCCTCCCCTCCTCTGGCCCATCAAGTTGTGCTCTGAGGACTGTGCAGCTACTCCCTACCCCCCCCAGGCCCTTGCCCCACCTGCCCCCTGACAGCCCCCTCCTCTCTCCACAGTCCACGGCATCAAGTGGACCTGCAGCAATGGGAACAGCAGCTCAGGCTTCTCGGTGGAGCAGCTGGTGCAGCAGATCCTTGACAGCCACCAGACCAAGCCCCAGCCCCGGACCCACAACTGCCTCTGCACTGGCAGCCTGGGTAAGCAGGGCTGGGGCAGCGGGTATGGCGGGCAGGCAGGGGTGCGGCCTCCTGCTAGGGGTGGCCAGGATGTCCAGCGAAGGATGGGGAGACAGCATAGCACCCCACATGGACACAAAGCAGGCCCTTCACCCTTGTCTGGCTCCAGAGATGGCAGGGTGCCCACTTTGGGCAGAAGTTTCCAGACAGGCAGCTCCCTCTAGGAACGGAGCAAGGGCAGCAGGTGGGGGAAATGTAGATGGCTGGAACTCTGGGCCTGTGTCCACCCACCGCTAATGCCCTCCCAGAGCCCCGTTCCCGGGCACCCAGCATGGGGCTGCATGGGTTTGCCAGGTAGATGCACCCTGAGTCAATTGGGCCACTCAAGCTCAACCTCTTCTTTAGTCTCTGTCTCCTCCAGGAATGCAAAGTCTCCCCTCTGCATCCTAATGTGTTTGTGATTCTGATAATGGTATTTGCTTTTTGAGATGTGCGGCCTGCTCCCTCCGCCGCCTTAATTAGATATTTCCATTTAGAGGGTCGTGTCACTTCTCTGCCAAGTCTTCACGAATTTAGGAATCTTTTTGGCCAGGCTGTAGCAGGATCAGGGGTGAATTCGTCCTTTTATCAAAAGCGAAGTGACTCTTATCTGATGGAATAAAAATAATGACATGGCAGCGGGAGAGAAAAGCCGCCGGGCCTGCTGGGCACAGAGGCTAGGGGTAGAGCCCCAAGCAGAGCTCAGAGGGGCTCAGCGCCTCAGATACCAAGCTGAGAGGGGCTCAGCACCTCAGACGCCGAGCTGCGGGAGGACTCCATTCTTGCCTAGGACCCAGAAGGATTTTACCTCCCAGAGAGCCAAGCACAGGCGCAGGCTAGCCAAACAGAAGTGGCTGGCCTAGCCCCCAATACCTTTCTGCCTCTGGCTGGGCAGAAGCTCCACTGTGCCTAGAACTTCTCTGATCCCGGACCAGAGAGCTAATCCAGAGAGAACACCTTGTCCTCCATCTCCCCCAACCCCCAACCTCTGGTGTCCAGTTCCAAGGGGTAGCTCCCACTGGATTCCTGAGACTTTGCATGGCCTGAACAGGCTGGAAAGTTTGGGGGGCGGGGAGGGACATGGCTACCTCCCTGGGACTGTGGACGTGCAGAAAGTTGAGCCCCTCTGGGTGGAAGTGTCTCTGATGGCGGAGGGGAATTTCTTGGAGGGTAACTTCTCTCCACCCTCTCTCTCTGGGCCTTCTATATACTGGGGTGTCCCTTTCAGTATTCTTTGAAAAGAACATCAAGAAAAAAGACACCTTGGCCTTTGGAGGATGGTCACATAGGGCACGTGAGAGCCCCAGGGCTTGGTGTTGGTAGGCCGGACGACTGGAGTGTCTGTTAAATGCCGACCCCATGGGATCTGTGGCCTGTCCGGGCTCCTGGGCCTGGGCTTTGACCAGAGCCCAGCTGCTCAGTAACAGCATCCACTGTGGTCCCAGCTCTGACACTCTCTTTGTGTGTGTGCATGCGTGCATGTGTGCGCACGTGTGTGCGTGTGTGTGTATGTGTGCTGTGCTTCTGATCTCCACAGGAGCAGGCAGCAGCATGCACCACAAGTGTAACAGTGCCAAACACCGCATCATCTCACCCAAGGTGGAGCCACGGACCGGGGGGTACGGGAGCCACGCGGAGGTGCAGCACAACGATGTGTCAGAGGGCAAGCACGAGCACAGCCACAGCAAGAGCTCGAGCCGTGAGAAGCGCAATGGCAAGGTGGCCAAGCCAGTTCTGCTGCACCAGAACAGCACCGAGGTGTCCTCCACCAACCAGGTAGAGGTCCCCGACACCACCCAGAGCTCCCCCGTGTCCATCAGCAGTGGGCTTAACAGCGACCCGGACATGGTGGACAGCCCCGTGGTCACCGGTGTATCCAGCATGGCGGTAGCCTCCGTGATGGGGAGCCTGTCCCAGAGCGCCACGGTGTTCATGTCAGAGGTCACCAATGAGGCCGTGTACACCATGTCCCCCACTGCTGGCCCCAACCACCACCTCCTCTCACCTGATGGCTCTCAGGGCCTGGTCCTGGCTGTGAGTTCTGATGGCCACAAGTTCACCTTCCCCACCACGGGTAGCTCCGAAAGCTTATCAATGCTGCCCACCAACGTGTCTGAAGAGTTGGTCCTTTCCACCACCCTTGACGGTGGCCGGAAGATTCCAGAAACCACCATGAACTTTGACCCCGACTGTTTCCTCAACAACCCAAAGCAGGGCCAGACCTATGGGGGCGGAGGCCTGAAGGCCGAGATGGTCAGCACCAACATTCGGCACTCGCCACCCGTGGAGAGGAGCTTCAGCTTCACCACCATCCTCACCAAGGAGATCAAGACTGAGGACACCTCCTTCGAGCAGCAGATGGCCAAGGAAGCATACTCCTCCTCTGCCGCAGCCACCGCCTCCAGCTCCCTCACGCTGACCACCGGCTCCAGTCTGCTGCCCTCAGGCGGCGGCCTCAGCCCCAGCACCACCCTGGAGCAGATGGACTTCAGCGCCATAGACTCCAACAAGGACTACACATCCACCTTCAGCCAGACGGGCCACAGCCCCCACATCCACCAGACCCCCTCCCCGAGCTTCTTCCTGCAGGATGCCAGCAAGCCCCTCCCCCTCGAGCAGAACGCCCACAGCAGCCTGAGTGACTCTGGGGGCACCTTCGTGATGCCCACGGTGAAGACAGAGGCCTCATCCCAGACCAGCTCTTGCAGCGGCCATGTGGAGACTCGGATAGAGTCCACCTCCTCCCTCCACCTCATGCAATTCCAGGCCAACTTCCAGGCCATGACGGCGGAAGGGGAGGTCACCATGGAGACTTCACAGGCAGCCGAGGGCGGCGAGGTCCTCCTCAAGTCCGGGGATCTGCAGGCCTGTAGCTCTGAGCACTACCTGCAGCCCGAGAGCAATGGGGTGATCCGGAGCGCCGGCGGCGTGCCCATCCTCCCAGGCAACGTGGTACAGGGCCTCTACCCAGTGGCCCAACCCAGCCTGGGCAATGCCTCCAACATGGAGCTCAGCCTGGACCACTTTGACATCTCCTTTAGCAACCAGTTCTCCGACCTGATCAATGACTTCATCTCCGTGGAGGGGGGCAGTGGCACTATCTACGGACACCAGCTGGTGTCAGGGGACAGCACGGCACTCTCGCAGGCGGAGGATGGGGCCCGCGCGCCCTTCACCCAGGCCGAGATGTGCATCCCTTGCTGCAGCCCCCAGCAGGGGGGCCTGCAGCTCAGCAGCGCTGAGGGCGCGGCCAGCACCATGGCCTACATGCACGTCGCCGAGGTGGTCTCGGCCGCCTCGGCCCAGAGCACCCTAGAGATGCTGCAGCAGAGTGGACGGGTGTTCATGGTGACCGACTACTCGCCGGAGTGGTCCTACCCAGAGGTAAGCCACCACGGCAGCTCCTGCCCGCCCCACCACCATGTTCATTGGCCATCACCCAGCACAGGGATGCTCATGTGCATGTGGCTGCCCTTGGGATGAAGCTGTAGACCATAAAAACTAAGATGTCTTCTTCCCCACAGCATCCCTCAAGCAGTAGTTCTCAAACTTCACTGGAGCAAGTGGTCAGGGGTCTCCTGGGAGACATGGTGCCTCCTCCAGCTCCAGCTATAACAGCCCTGCTGTTACCTGGCTTATATGTTAAGATTCTACCTATGCTTTGCTTTGTTTTATTTCTTCTCCTTTTTTTTTTTTTTTAAAGGAGTTCTGTGGCTGCTAAGGAAACCCTGGTGGCGTAGTGATTAAGAGCTACAGCTGCTAACCAAAAGGTCAGCAGTTCAAATCCACCAGGCACTCCTTGGAAACCCTATGGGGCAGTTCTACTCTGTCCTATAGTGTCACTGTTAGTCGGAATCGGCTCAACGGCAACGGGTAATGGGTTTATGGCTGCTAAAAGGAGCCCTGGTGTTGCAGTCGTTAAGCACTCAGCTGCTAACCAAAAGGTCAGCAGTTCCAACCCACCAGCTGCTCCATGGGAGAAAAGATATGACAGTCTGCTGCCATAAAAATTACTGCTTTGGAAACCCTATGGGGCCATTCTACTCTGTCCTACAGAGAAGCTATGAGTCGGAATCAACTCACTGGCAACGGGTTTGGTTTTTGGTTTTATGGCTGCCAAAAGGAGCCCTGGTGTTGCAGTGGTTAAGTGCTTGGTTGCTAACAAAAAGGTTGGCGGTTTGAATCCACCAGTGGCTCTGCGGGAGAAAAGACCTGTCAATCTGCTCTGTAAAGATTACAGCCTAGGAAACTCTGTGGAGCAGTTCTACTCTGTCCTATAGTGTCGCTGTGAGTCGGAATCAATTTGATGGCACCTAACACAACAATGGCTGCGAAGGAGTCCCTTAGTGGTGCAAAGAGTTAAAACCTTCGGCTGCTAACCAGCGTGTTAACCAAAAGGTTAGAGGTTCAAGTCTACCCAGAGGCACCTCGGAAGAAAGGCCTGGTGATCTACTTCTGAAAAATCAGCCACTGAAAACCCTACGGAGCACAGTTCTACTCTGAAACACATGGGGTTGCCATGAGTTTTAATTGACTTGACAGCTACTGGTTTAATGCAGGCCCTGCAAACTAAGTCTTCACGCATGGCCAGGGCAGAAATGCTGCCCAAGGCCTGTGAATGTTCCAGACCCAGGCGGCAGGGGCTCCAGGGGCCAATGCCTGAGTTGAGACTGGGCAACCAGTGTCCTTAGAAGTGACTGGCTTCTCTAAGCCAGTCTCTGCTGCACAGTCTCCTCTTGGGTACTAGCAAAGGACAATGAGGCCTAGTGGTGGAGGGCACATGCTCAGGGGTCACCTCTGGGTGTCAGTTTAGCTGTGCTGTGACCTGGAGCTAGTTTCTTCACCCCCTGTGACTCAGTTTCCTCATCTGTAAAATGGCGGTGACAGCCTCAGGATGAGGTTTAGTGAGTGCTTGGTAATGTCTGCAACTCATAGTAAGCATCAGTGAATATTGGCTATTGCTTGTTATAGCACGTGGCCCACTGTGTTCCTTTCTGTGTCCTCCTGCCGAGTGTCGTGGCAAAGAGACCACAAGCCCTAGATTCTGTTCCCTCTCGCTCACTGACTGAGCACAGCTTTGTGGGGTCACCCGTGATGTGGGCCTCAGTGCCACAGCCTTTACTATGAGGCTTATACTTCCTGCCACCTTCCCTTTATGGCTTGTTGTTATTAGCTATCATCAGGTCAGCCCCTGACTCATGGTGACCCCATGCACAATGGAATGAAATGCTACCTGGTCCTGTGCCATCCCAATGATCGGTTACAGATCGAGCCATTGTGAGTCATAGGGTTTTCATTGGCTGATTTTCTGAAGCAGATCACCAGGCCTTTCTTCTTAGTCTCTCTTAGTCTAGAAGCTCTGCTGAAACCTGTTCAGCATCATAGCAACACACAAGCCTCCACTACAGATGGGTGGTGGCTGCACATGCAGTGGGTTGGCTGGGATCAAACCTGGGTCTCCCTTACGGAAGGTGAGAACCACCAACGCCTATGGCAAAGCTAAGAAAATCTGTGTAAAAATGTCTCAAGCATGCAGAAAAATGCCAGATCAGCCAGGTAGAGGTCCAGCCTTAGGACAGTTGTGTCCTGGAAATATGGCAGGTGTCTGAAATTCCAGCCTCTGCCCATACACTGTGTGTCTGTGTGTAGGTGTTTATAAAAACCCTCAGGCATCCAAGAGGCAGCTGCCATATATGGTTAGGAGCATGGAGCTGGGGCCCAACAGTCTCCATTCAAATCCCAGCTCCACGCTTCCTAGCCAGTGACCTTGGGAAAGACAGCAGCCTTCCCTGTGTCTCGGTTTCCTGCCTCTAAAATTGGGATAATAACCGTGATTCATTGGGTTGTTGTGCGGATTGAATGGGCAAATTTACCAGCTTAGCACCTGCCTCTCCTGTCCACCTCCATCTGTTCCTCCAGTAAGACCGAGAAGGACCCAACTGGGCTTCCTCTTGATGTTGCTTGGTGTTTTCTGTCCCTGACGCATCCCCTCCATTCTTGCCAGTGACACTGAGCTCAGGAGCATCATCACAGCACCCACCACGTTTCCCCAGTGGCAAAAGGCCAGCTCAGTAGCTCACCTAGATGGAGTTTAGCAAAGCAACCAGAGGTAGAAGTAAGAAGAAAGGTGTGGGATTGGGAGACAGTGGGAAGATCACAGCTGGGAGTCAGGAGTGCTGCCTTCTGATCCTGACTCTGGGGAGACTTGATTCTCTGGGCCTCAGTTTCCCCTATCTGTAAAATGGCTGAGAGGCGGCAGGCTAAAGGCACTCCAAATCCTGGGAGATTTGGTCCTGGGGGCTGCCCCCTGGAGCCCGAGCGAGCAGGAACTGAGGGCTGAGAGGTCCAGGGCTGCACTCCGGCCTCCCTGGCCCTGGCGGGCTCTAGCAAGGGGCCGTTAGCAGGCCTGACCCCCTCCAGCTCCCCGCCCTAAGATCCCTAAGCAGAGGTTCATCTCGGGAGAGCAGTTCCACAGCTCGCCACGTGAGGGCGATCCAGGAACAGGGAACGGAACGGGCGGCCTGGAGGTGGCAGATGCAGCCAGCCCTTGTTTTCCAGAAGCCCTGGATGCTTCCAGTTACTTGGAAACAAAAGCAGCTCAAATTCATTTGATTTGGAAAATGTACAGACATCCTCCAGCTGGGCCCTTGGGTGTCTGCTGTGTGTGGCTCACAGTGAAGCTTCAGGACCCAGCAGCCCCAACCAGCCACTACCTCCTTGACCCATGTCCATTTCGTCTCTGGGCCACCATCCCCAGTCCAACAGCAGCCCCTCACAGTTCTGCAGGCGACGGGCCCCTCTTGGGACACTTTCCATCACAGCCAGCTCACTGGCCTGTCTGCTCCTGGCCCCTGCCCTCCTCTGCCAGCAGGGGGCAGCTGTGTGTCAGGCCCCGATCTAGCCTAGGCTCCACCACAGCTCACCGAGGGCTCTGCGACAAGACAGAGGCCCTAGGCCGGCTTTCTAGTCTGCAAATCTAAGGTCAGACTAAATGGTAACTCTCTACCCGCCCAACACTAACACCAGATGGCTCCCAGCACACACTTAGCGGGAGACTATGGCCGGTGCTATCTCCATGTCTTCTCTGAGCAGTCCTCCCCCTGGGGGAGTGGGGTGGGGTGGGGCGAGGCGAGGGTCCCAGCTTCTCCTCCTCTTCATCCTTCTCTTCTGTCTGCATCTGTAACATACACACACATGCGCGCGCGCGCGCGCACACACACACACACACACACACACACACACACACGAACGGGGTGCCCCTGTGTGCCAGGATCTGTTCTGAATGCATTGGAAATCTGTGCCTTTTATCTCAGTGCCCCCAGGGCACTGAGCCCTCAGATGGCATTGTTGCCTCTCCCTATCCCCCAAGTCCTTGTGCGTCATCTCCTGCCACTGACACTCGCGCTGCACCAGACAGAAGAGGCTGCAATTAGAGCCGTCATGCCTGCACGTCAGGCGCGCGTTGCCGTGGGAACCATCCTTTGAACTGATGGAGGCTGAGCTGTCCTGCGGTGGTTTCCATGGAGAAGGGCTGACGTTCTCCAGCAATTTCTGCAGTCCTTTGTGCCTGGCAGCAGCCCCAGCTCCACACTCGCAGCTGTTGATTGGGGTTATTATTGTCCCCTTTTTTCTCTCATGGTCACTGTCTGTGGTCTTTTGAAGCCACTGCTCTTCCACTTCCCAGGATCCAGGGAGGATTTGGCCCTGTGCTGGCCTTCTGGTGCTTCCAGGCTCCCTGCTCCGTCAGGCGTACCTCCCAGCCAGAGACCCACTCTGGCCTGCAGTCCCAAGGGTGCTGACCCCCAGCCTCGCCACTCCAACCAAGTTCCAGATCTCCCTGTGGAGCCATATGGAGAACCGAGGAATGTTAGGGCCTGGAGGGCCCCCAGAGGGGTTGGGGCTCACCTGAGGACACACAGCCACTGAGGGGCAGGCGTCGGCCTCCTGCTCGGGCTGCCCGTCCGACCTCTCTGGCTGCCCTCAAAGACTCGGTTGCCTAGCAGTGAAATGACTTCTCCAGAGCCATGCCAGCCCAGAGGAAGGCCCCTAGGAGCACAGGTGGAATGCCTTCCAGTCAGAAAGCCCTTTCCATGGGGGGACATTCTTTCCTGTGCTGGACTGTGGAGGAGTCACCCCTACCAGGCGGGAAATACCCCCTCCTGCTGCTGCTGCCCAAGGCCAGGTCTAGGTCCCAGATACATTATGAGGAACCTCAGGAGCAAGCCCCACAACAAGGTCAGAGGGCACCTCCAGGACAGGGAGGGGCCGACTAGCCTAGGAGTCCCCAGGGCCAGTGCCAAGGGGAAGTCAAGTAAGAATGAGTGACTGACAGTAGATAGCAAACCAGCTTCCCGCTGACACTGGGTGGCTGTGAGTCTGGGCCTCTCTGTCCTTGGGTGGCAGGATCTATGGGGTCTCAGGTCCACAGCTCCCCAGACCATCACCAGTCCTGCCCCAGTCTCAAGTAGGAGCACCTCTGGGCCTTCTCCCTCCAGGCACTAGGTGGCGCTCTCCACCCTGTCCTGAGCAGTTCTTCTCCCCTCCCCCCCATCCCCAACCCCACCACCACCCCCACCACCCCCACCACCACCACCACAGGTGTTGCCCAGTACGGAGGGGATGGAGTCTCTGGAATGGACCAACCCAGGGATGGCCAGGAGAGCCAGGGCAGCCAACACACCCATCCTCTTCAGCCCCCAGGGAGGGCCCCCCCTTCCCTCCACTGGGCAGCCGGCCCCTCCTCCCGGCTATCTAAGCCTTAAGTGGGAGACAATGTAACTCATGGTTCACATGGGACAGGACTGAGAGTAAAAGGAGGCGTTATCGTTAATCACTGAACCAGGACAACATCACAAAGCAGGACTGCCCCAAGCACGGGGACATGTGGCCACCCCAGCCATCAGCAGCCAGAAGGGCCACCACCCGACCAACCCCCTCACTCCATGGCACCCT